GTAATTGTTTATGACTCGCTTTACTTTTTTCATCTTTGAAAATCTCACATGACGGAAAAAAATATCATGAACAACAGCTTTTTTTGTTCTGAAAAAATAGACTCGTGGAACCTCTTTAGAAGATGCTCTACGAATTCGGATAACTTAGAATCCCCTGCAAAAATAACCCCAGTTTACTCTGCAATGTAGCTACCAGCTATGATTACCATGACATAATCCGATGACAGCATAAAAATTCAAGTTAAAATCGAAAAAAATTCTCTCTTAAACGTGCGTCTCACCACGAAGGTGATCTCGTCAAATGACAGAAACTTAACACTTTTATAATTTGTAAGCCAAATTTTGATTTACCTGTCGCAATTTCCGGTGGCTCGCAAATCAACATTATCTGAACATTCGCAAGAAACGCAAGGTATCCCTGCCGATGGATCGCCATAGTAGTTGTCCGCGCATCGTTCACAGCGAACACCTGATGACATATAAGCAAAAGTTATTCAAGCATCAATCACTTTTTAGGACAAACTACAAGCTTCTAAGAAGATTGACGAAAATTAGAGCCAATTTCCATACTTTTTATGGATATAGACTTAACAAACTAGGCATGGTGTGTTGTGTGATACTGCAAATTCAGCTTAATCCTACGGTTCTGCGTGACGCATACCCGCGAACCGAGAATTATTTGTTTAAAAACTGGGCTGCAGCTCGAATTTTAGGCGAAGCTTGCTTTTTATGGGTAAATAAATAGTTGCCAAATTATATAACTATGAAAAGTATGCATTTTATTAAAGCAATTTAAAGTCACATTTTATATTGGGGTGCATTGTCTCATATTACAATAATGCGACTAAACTATAAAAAATGTCCACTTTTTTAAAAAAGACCTAGAAAAGGCTGTTAAAAAATATTTGCTTATTTATTTGCTAATCGACAAAATACATAAATCTGGTTTCATGGTTTTATCCTGAGGCTTTTTGACCTTAGGTTCGCACCTGTTGTATTGTTAGGACAGTCGAAACAGACTACTTTCACGTCCTCCGATTCTGGAGAAATAGGCCAGTCTACTTCTTCGCACTTGGAGCCTTGAGGACACGGACAAGGCTGACAACTACGTTGGCTTTTAGCTGGTGCGAAAGCATCCCCATAATAGCCATCAGCGCATCGATCGCAGAAGAGGCCTCCGGTGTTGTCACGGCATTCACATTGTCCTAAAGCAGGTTATGCATGCAAGTGAAAGGACAAAAGCAATTAAAAAAAGGAAAAAAAATAATATCAATTGATAAATATTTTGAGTAAGTAAATGTTAAAGTGAAAATAATTTAGAAGAAAGCCTACCAAGTGCCTTGAAAGGAAATGGTACCCAAGGATACTCGCAGAAAATGAAATGAATTATTGGAGTTTTAGAGATAAAATCAGAAGCTTTAGTAAACGTAGAGGTAGAAAAATAACATGAAAGAACAAATATAATATAAAATGTTCGACTTGTAGAATTTAAAGCATTCCTCAGATAATGTTAACTTTATAGCTTTTTCCATACTAAAAGCGGAGCCGCAATAAGATCTGTCCATAATAAAAATAGGAAAACTACGCTACCTTTACTAAAAGTTTATTTAAATGCCTAACTAAAAATGAGCATCTGTTTTATTCGCTTTCTTAACAAATACCACCTTTCTTCATTTGGTACCATTGCATACCTGCGAATGAGCGAATGGGTAATGATTCAATCTGTGAATATAAGCCCAGGTATGATTACCTAAAAGATTGATCCAGATTAGAGTTAAAATGAGTAAAAGTGACGAATTTAAGATATATACTGACAAAAATATGTATAGAAGGAAAAATTTCTTACAGTTACTCTTACCTGTTTCTGGATGACAAGTATCCCCATGTCCATTGCAGGTGCACGGCACACACC